GTATTGCATTATATTTTCAAGTTTACTACGTGTGTTTTCTCATTCATTTGTACCTGATGATGGTTGCTTGTGTTGCAATCGAAACGTCGTATTCTATTATTATAAAATTTATTTCTACGTTACTTTACCGAAAGAACCAAAGAGTAATTGCTGCAGTCACGAAAGCTTCGAATCAAGTCTAATGATGGTGAAAGTAAAAATCTCATCAAATAATCCTTATTGCATCCCTTACTGTTGCCATCCGTTACTCCTTGGTAAAACTTCCTCCGTGCGCGGCAGGGCCTTTTGCCAATAAATTCGCAGCCTCAAGTGTGTCAACGTGTTAGGTGGCCCAGAGTGATGAATACTTCATGTTTAGCCACCACATGGTCAGAAAGGAAATAAGGTCAGTTTGTGATGATGCAGCGACCGTATTTATTGCTTGTGGAGGAAAACGCTTTCTGTTGCTCAGCACAAATGCATACGTATCTTTAAAATCTGAGTGTCCAGTTTCGTTTTGAACAATGAGATTAATTGCTAAGTGCCCTAAAAAGGTGCCCAAAGTCGGTGTCCAATTCCGTTTTTTTAACAATTGGGTTAATTGTTGCCAAGTATCCCAAAAAGGGCCATGTGTTTTCGGTTCTACTGAAACTATGCCCTGTGTTAAACAGCTCTCAAAATACTGTCATGCTGTCTCAAAATGGTGTTTCTTGTATGCATACGTTTGTTTATAACATAAGAGTTATATATGACGTAGAGAGGTGAATGTTCAATTTGATCTCAGTTACCTTGAGTCCTAAGGTGAACAGGCTTGGACCATAAGCCATTTTGATCGGTTTCGTTAAACGTTGTTGTTTACATTTTCATGACAAAAAAAATACATAGATCATTCAAATAAAAAAAAGGTTTTCTTTGTTTATTTTACATACATGCATTATAAATGGGCGGCAGGGTGGTGCAGTGGTAACACTTGTGCCTCACAGCAATAAACACCTGGTTTTGGTTGCCGACTCGAGTGCCTTTCTGTGTGGAGTTTGCATGTTCTACCCTGTTCTGCATGTGTTTTCTTTCCTCAGATTTCCCCACTTTCCTTCCACAGCTAAAAAAAACAGACAATGTAACTGCTATTGGCCAAACATCCAAATTCTGAAAAAAATGTCTGCAAATTACTAAAATTGGAATGACACATAGCAACATCGCCCCCCATTGCAAAAACTAGACATGTCCCTCCTAAAAAGAGTCATAAGACTAAGCGAGGCTTTCCTGAGTAAATAAGCATAATAATCTTCTTGGTTCTTTCGGTAAAGTCACGTAGAAGGGAAGTAATAAAATAATAAAAATAAAACATAATAAAATAAAATAATTTTTTTTTATTACTTCCCTTCTACGTGACTTTACCGAAAGAACCAAGAAGATGAATCCCTGCAGTCACGAAAGCTTTAAATCGAAGCATAATAATAATAATAAAATGTATTATTTTCCACAACAAATGCGGCATGACTTTACGCAGAGGCGAAAACAATGCACGCTTTGGGGAAATGGTGCCATTTAGCGTGCGTGGTGTAAGGATATAACTATTTAGCTTATCCAGGCCACTGATCTTTACCCCATTCTTTTTTCACTCTTCATACAAACATAAGTGCATATAACCTTTTCGAATGGCTATTGTATGCAGCACACATACCAATCACGTCTTCGTCAAATGTCACATCATTGTTACCCTTTCCCTCGTGTAAATGCACCACTTAGAGCAGTAAAAGATGTTGGGTTGGGTTGCACCGAAAAACATTTGGAGCACAAGTACAATGATTTTTTTTTGTCCTTTGATTTATACTGTATTATTTTAATAAACGTTCCTAAAACATGAACTGAACATGAAACGCTAAAATGCGAACGTTAAAGAATAAACTTAAAAAAAAACTAAATAACCACAGCTCTACCGATTATCTTGTCACGGAAATGCTTTAATTCACAGTATATTGATATGTTAATAGATAATATTGATTAATGATTGATCTAAATCCTTGAATAATAATTTACCGGAACACGGATGTGTGGTATTTCTATTTAAGCTTTTGAGAAGAGGTTGTGATATTTAATTATGATGCAAATATATTCGCGTGTGTAATGTTGAGTAAATTCCATTTGAAATGAATTGGCCAAGGATTGCATTGTGTTGCTTATTGCGCATTTCCTTGTCTGTGCTGTTACAAACTTAGCCATGTGGTTATAAATTAATACAAATCATGAGCACATTTCACATTGACATTAACTTGTTTCTGTAGAAAGTGAATTGATAATTTTGCTGGAGGAGATCGGGGTGATATACAGCTCTAAGGAGAGGGTGTGTGAGGCGAGCTTTGAGTCGATGTCAGGCACATCCTGGTTGACTTTGCAAAAACTATTTTCACTCGTACTTTTCTGCGGAAAGTATCGCTTTAGTCTCAGAAAGGAAGGGCACTCTGCACCCGATGACTAAAATTGCTTCCAAATGTTTTAACCTCTCAAGCATGACTTATTAAAAGCAAAAAATATATATTTTGTTTTAAGTGTCAAAGCAACCCCCCTGGAATGTGTTGACATTTAAAAATATAATTTCAGAGCAGTCATATATGTCGTAGCAGTCCACCAAAGTAGATACAATTGTACGAGACCGTTAATGCATGTATTATTGTAGTCGGGTATTTGTCTGTGCAATTAGACATTCTCCATCCATGATTATAAATTAATGGAAAGCTCCCCGTGTTTCACATCGACTTGGATTTGTTCATCTGAGAAGCAAATCAATGTTTAATCTGAAAATCTAATTTCGGATTAACACAGGTCACTCTACTGCGCAGGTTCAAATGAACTGACGACCAGTAGGACCTGTTCATTGTTGTGAAAGAGCAGCTGTTGATAACCGAAGCTTTGAGACATTCAAAGCGAGAGTGTGTGCTATTAGCATCGTTGGGACCAGGGCAATGAGGGCTGGCGTAAGAGACGGCACCCATCTGTGCTCGCCTACTCAAGTCACAATGAAGTTCCCCATTGGATAGGCTCCACTTGGCTCATTACTCCTCAACTTGGTTTCCAAGGAAATGTAAAATGTGCAGTTTTGTTTGAAAGCTGTCACCTTGGAAACAAAGGGTGCTGGAAAAGGAAGACATTTCACGCTGCCATATGTGATGCACAAGTAAGCACAGTTATGCTGTATTGAGCACTGGTGGTGTCAGTATGGTTGTCATTACTGTGGTGGACCTCAGAAGATGAGAAACCTGTCTGCACTGGCTTTGTCAAGGCCATACAGCCTTCATAAACGTGTGGAGCAAGTGCTGTTACCTATTGAGGCCTGCACATAAGGGGATGGCATGGCCTACACAACACCCTTTGTCTCCCCAGCGCTGATGTTTACACACCCACACCAGGTATGCATTTTAAGGGGTGGCCCAGTGCAAATGTTGATACCACTCACCACCTATGTTATCCGTGGCTGGGAATCAAGTGTAGGTCTCGGTATACATTGTTGAGTGCACTAACATGCACGCATTACAGTGTTATTAGTATTATGATCATTACTGTGGTATATTTGGCCAGTTATAAATAACTTCAGTTTGTGAGCCAGTTTGTATCGCTGTCATACCTGGCATTTACTCTACATTGACACTGAGTGTACTGACGTGTGTCTGCATAATTCGATACGTAATATTCTTTGGCTACTTAATATGACAAGACACACTCAGCATTCTGTATCTTCTTAATATCCTTTGACTACTTAATATGACAAGTCACGCTCAATTCGATGCATTCGATAACATACACCTGGTGGAACACAGGATAGCATGGGATGGAGGGGTGACACTTGCCCGTAGCAAATCATTAATGCACACTCGCCCACCCTACCGATGCAAGCGGCAGGCTATCGATTTTTAAACACTTTCACCGCGTGCCGATTTCTAAATGATTTTCCCCTCTCCCAAGATGCCTAATTCGGCAGTGTTGCCAAGTCTGTTATTGTGCACGAACTACAACCGAGGCTGACGCCAATGTGCCTCGCATGAAGAGGAGGAGGAGGTTTTCTGCTACGAACCAGCACTGATTCGCTCCCCCTAAAACCCACATTTCCATTATATTTTTCCTTCCCTATTGTTATGTGGTGTGCATGCGTGCACCCAGTGGCGGCCCCTGCAGTGAGAACCGAGGGCATGTTAATTGATTTCAAACCCAATTAATGTCCTCATTATGAGTCCTTGTTAGTGATGATATTTCTTCCTGCCATATGGTTCTGCCTGAGACAGCAAGCAGCCTGGCATTTAAAAAATGTGCTCCCTCCATTAAAGCGGATAGGGGCCTCGCTGGGTTCCACGACCGATGGAAACCCCTCGCAAATGAGATGGGGGTTTTTATGGTGTGGAGAATGCCTGGAAGCATCCTGATGTGTGAAATTGAAGATGGTAGAAATGCTGCCTATTCTCACTGCTCTGTGATTTGATTGTATGCCGTACAGTAAACCCGAATGCAAAATCTGCCATTCTGGGACTGCTGAGGGAATTTAATGGAAAAATGTGGCACATTAAACTTTTACGTGTTGAATACATCAATGTTTATGGTGAAAATTAAATAGAATTGCATTTTATCACTTAATATATTTAAATATATATTTAAAAGTATAGGGTGGAGTGAGCGGTGGTGAAGTGGTTAGCGTGTTGTACTGTGAACCCGGAAATCTGAGTTTGATTCCCAGTCATTTACAATAGTGGGAAATTATATCTGAACTTGTCCTAGGTAGCCATTTCAGCAGCCTGCACTAACCAGTTTGGTGAAGCATGATCAAACAACCCCCATCCAGCTGTGAATTTATGTTAAAATATGTCAATATAATGTTCAATTATTGCATTGTTTTGGTTCTCGTGATCGCTTGAAATTAGGGTGGCATGGTCTCAAACTTTTACTGAAATATCAACTTTGTGAATTTGACAGTTTTACCGCATCACCTTTTTCGCCACTGACCGCTCAGCACCATCTCGCCCCCTCCCCCCCAGGAGTGCAGAGGAAGCCGGAGGGCTGGGTGGGGCTAGGATGCTGCGAGTTGGCCATCGCTAATGAGTGCAGGCGAGCCTGCCGCCAGGTAAGAAGGGATGCCACGATGCACATCGACATCATCATTACGTCGTGATCATTCATTATTCATACCGCGCCCCCCCACCGCAGCTCGATCGCCAAACATGCAGTAGGCCAAATATACAAATCAAATCTTGATTATTGCCAGTAACGCCAGCATTTTGCCTTACCTGGTAAAATAAAATAAAAAGTTTCATATTTGATGATAAGCAAATGGGCACTATACGGTGGCAAGATGTTAACTACCTCGCCTGGTATACAGGAGGCTGTGGGTTCGATCCCCACCCCATTTAGAAACATGCGCTTAGAGTATTTGGCTGCTATCAATTTCCACTTGATAAGCCACTTTGTTGAGCTATCAATTGTGCCCAGGTCGCTTCTGAAAAAGAGCTTTATAGCTCAGCAGGCTTACCTGGTAAAATAAAAAAATTTGTTGAATAGTTTAACCTGCATGAATTGTAAAGTATAAGATTCTTTGGGTCTTTCGGTAAAGTCACGTAGATAGGTTCAAAGAAAATAACAAAAAACTACGATGTTTCGATCGCAACACAAGCGTTCGTCATCAGGAAGAGGGGGTTAGCTTCTAAAGGCAAATTGTTAATAAAGTTTTGAAATGGGCATAGTCTTATGTCAGCAGTCAATGTCAATGTAAGTGGTGGGCAGCGACCGCGACGGTGGTGGGTATTCCACCAATCAAAGGGCTGCCGAGTAAAAATTAGCATGTTAAAGTAAGATCGTTGAGCGGCCTCCACGGCCAGCGCCCTGAGGTGGTGATGTTAATGTGAGAGATTAGCATGTTAAATTCAGGCCAGAAAACCATACATTTCAAACAACACAAACGTGTGTAAAAAGTTTGGAGCTTCTGTGCATACATGTAATTATGCAATAAGCATATATACACAGATGCTGTGTTCTTGAAAACAATTATATTGGTAACTAGCGGGAAGTACCCGGCGTTGCCCGGGCGAAAAAGACAGACACATCGACTTACACACACTTACAGACATTGACCCACACACAAAAACACATAGACTTACACACACACACATATGGACTTACACATATTGACATCTACTTTAGATACACACACATGGAGTTACACACACATATCGACGTACACACATACAGCGACACATCGACCTGCACACACATATGGACTTACACACACACATATCGACGAAGACACACACACATGGACTTACACACATACATGGACCCATGCACACACATCGACTTACACACACAAACATCACACACACACGTACATAGAATCACTCACACAACACCCTACACACACACATATGGACTCACACACACAGACACACACACATGGAGTTACACACCCATATCGACGTACACACATACAGTGACTCACACACACACATCGACTCACACACACATATGGGTTTACATACACAACGACCTACACACACATATGGACATACACACACATATCGACTAAGACACACACACATGTACTTACACACACATTGACGCAAACACACACATCGACTGACACACACATATATCGACTCACGCACACACACATCGACTCTCACACACACATCGACTCACACACACAAACACATCGACTCACACACACATCCACGAAGACACGCACATCGACTCACACGCACACATGGATTTAGACACACACATTTTGATTTGAAAAAATTGTAACGTATTTGTTCAATATTAGTTGTGTACACACACACCACGCACACACATTGACTAACACACACACATCGACTGACACACAGACATATCAACTCACGCACACACACATCGACTCGCACACACATCGACTAATACACACAACAACAGCAACCGCCATTCGCCACTAAGTGGAGGTGACGTCACCACGACGCTTGTGCCAGGCCATGTGCACCTTGAGGCCACGTGAAGTGTCGAACGCCCGCTGGCAGGAGGTCACGGGGCAGACCCAGGTGCCACGGGTCGACTGACTGAGATGACTGAGATGACTGGCTGATGCACCAGCTGTGCCCCCTACTATGCCAACTTGCTGTGCTTTAGCCACCCGGCGCTCTGCTCGTTGTTGTGAGCGTCGCTCCTCCGCCCCCCGTTGTTGTTGGAGGGCGACTGCCTCCAACTGCCCAGGAGCGTCCTTCACGAGCCTCCTCCACAGAGGCCGATCTTGACACCGCTGGTACCAGTCGTCGGAAAGTCCACTCAGCTCCACGTCCTCTTGTACCACATCACTCCATTTCTTCTCTAGCCCGTGCCGCACCCGTTTAGCCCCCTCGATCCGGCTGAACAAAAGCTGTTTAGGCATGCGGTGGCTGGGCATGCGGGCTACATGACCCAGTCAACGCAGCCTTGCCTGCCGGAGGAGCTCACCGATGAGACTTTGCCCAGATCTTTCAAGAATTTATGAGCTCCTCACACAATCCAGCCTGGTTAAACCCAGGATGGATCGTAGGCAGGCCAGCTTAAATGTTTCTAACCGGCGAAGATGCTCCATCAGGGGGGTCCACGTTTCGCAAGCATAGAGAAGGGAGGGAATGACCATGGCCGAGAATACCTGAAGCTTCATGCGAAGCGACAGACCAGGTAGCTTCCACACAGCGTTACGCAACCGATGAAAAGATATTGCCGCTCGACTGATTCAGAGTGAGACCTCTGCTGTTAAACCGGAGCCAGTCATGAGCACACTGCCCAGGTATGGGAAACTCTCCACTCTCTCCACAACTGCCCCACACACACGGACGTACAGTGAGGGAAAAAAGTATTTGATCCCTTGCTGATTTTGTACGTTTGCCCACTGACAAAGAAATGATCAGACTATAATTTTAATGGTAGGTGTATGTGAACAGTGAGAGACAGAATAACAACAAGAAATCCAGAAAAACGCATGTCAAAAATGTTATAAATTGATTTGCATTTTAATGAGGAAAATAAGTATTTGACCCCTCTCAATCAGAAAGTTTTCTGGCTCCCAGGTGTCTTTTATACAGGTAACGAGCTCTTAAAGGGAGTGCTCCTAATCTTAGCTTGTTACCTATATAAAAGACATCTGTTTTCCACCATGGCCAAGACCAAAGAGCTCTCCAAGGATGTCAGGGACAGATTGTAGACCTACACAAGGCTGGAATGGGCTACAAGACCATCGCCAAGCAGCTTGGTGAGAAGGTGACAACAGTTGGTGCGATTATTCGCAAATGGAAGAAACACAAAAGAATTGTCAATCTCCCTCAGCCTGGGGCTCCATGCAAGATCTCACCTCGTGGAGTTGCAATGATCATGAGAACGGTGAGGAATCAGCCCAGAAATACACGGGAGGATCTTGTCAATGATCTCAAGGCAGCTGGGACCATAGTCACCAAGAAAACAGTTGGTAACACACTACGCCGTGAAGGACTGAAATCCTGCAGCGCCCGCAGGGTCCCCCTGCTCAAGAAAGCACATATACATGCCCGTCTGAAGTTTGCCAATGAACATCTGAATGATTCAGAGGACAACTGGGTGAAAGTGTTGTGGTCAGATGAGACCAAAATGGAGCTCTTTTGGATCAACTCAACTCGCCGTGTTTGGAGGAGGAGGAATACTGCCTGTGACCCCAAGAACACCATCCCCACCGTCAAACATGGAGGTGGAAACATTATGCTTTGGGGGTGTTTCTCTGTTAAGTGGACAGGACAACTTCACCACATCAAAGGAACGATGGACGGGGCCATGTACCGTCAAATCTTGGGTGAGAACCTCCTTCCCTCAGCCAGGGCATTGAAAATGGGTCGTGGATGGGTATTCCAGCATGACAATGACCCAAAACAAACGGCCAAGGCAACAAAGGAGTGGCTCAAGAAGAAGCACATTAAGGTCCTGGAGTGGCCTAGCCAGTCTCCAGACCTTAATCACATAGAACATCTGTGGAGGGAGCTGAAAGTTCGAGTTGCCAAACGTCAGCCTCGAAACCTTAATGACTTGGAAAAGATCTGCAAAGAGGAGTGGGACAAAATCCCTCCTGAGATGTGTGCAAACCTGGTGGCCAACTATAAGAAACGTCTGACCTCTGTGATTGCCAACAAGGGTTTTGCCACCAAGTACTAAGTCATGTTTTGCAGAGGGGTCAAATACTTATTTCCCTCATTAAAATGCAAATCAATTTATAATATTTTTGACATGCGTTTTTTTAGGATTTTGTTGTTGTTATTCTGTCTCTCGCTGTTCAAATACACATAACCATTAAAATTATAGACTGATCATTTCTTTGTCACTGGGCAAACGTTCAAAATCAGCAGGGGATCAATTACTTTTTTCCCTCACTGTACACACACACATCGTGGCAGACACGCACATGGACTCACATATGCACACCAGGACTTACACAATAATAGATTCATATTCACCAAGTAAATTTAGAAATATTAGTTGTCAGCACACACACTAAAATATTGTAATATTTCCATAGTGATAAGTAAAAATATAGGTTTCTATGTACGTGAGTTTATCGAAACAAAAGCAAGGAATAGAAATATGAGTTGTCCACATACACACAAACATTATTAATGTAATATTTGCTAAGTGATTATTTAAATAATAGGTTTCTATTAACGTGAGTTTAGCGAAAGAAGCAGGAAAATTGTACTTAACATTGCCATGGTGAGGCCTAGTCCTGTGCAGAGCCCCAGGCCTCGCCTAGATTTCCCAGTCAGCCGAGGTGGCACCTTGGCAGGCTGGGGGCTGGGCTGCTACCCCCACCATCCCCCCACCCGCGCTACAATAATACTATCTAAGCGCTATACTATTAATATGTACGGACTCTATAGTAGTAACTGCGCGCATCGGCGTGGGGGGATTGACCTCAGCGTTTTGTCTTTTTTATAGCATTTTTTACGCGAAATAAAATGTTCCCATCACTACCACCGAATGCGTGCGACTTGGCAGGGGCCGTTCCTCCCACGGAAGGCGTGAGTTGGTATGGTCGAGCGCTCGTAATAAATAATGAAAAAAAAAACTCGCACTAAATCGCTAATTGAACTAATTAAA